TAACGTACTTACCTGTGAATTTACTCCTACGATTATTTTATCATCATCCATCATTTTATATAAACAAATCACTAAAAGAACAAAAAAGCAGAAATTAGCGAGAATCAACATACACACATCCTTAAATACATACATATGTATGTACATGTATGTATTCAAATACATACCAAGATCTGGGATTGTAATAGTTGCTTACTTTATTTTAAATTAAATAAGTATTACTTACCAATATTTTATAACCACTAACTCCTTTATAGTTAATTCCGCCTAGTTGAGGACCCCGCCTCCTCTTTTGCTCAAGCCGCCGTCTCTTTAAATATTAAAGCCGCCGCCTCCTCCTTTGCTCAAGCAGTCGCGGTCTTCTTCAATGTTGAAGCCGCTTCCTTCAATATGAAAGCCGCCGTCTCCTCTATTGAAGCGAAGCAAATGAGGCCTACATGAATTCATGAGAATCGCGTAGTAAGGCATTAGTTATGAATGCGATTTTTTTTAAATTTGCAGAGCTTCTTACATACAAGCGTACATAAATACATAAATACATACATACATACATACATACATACATATATACATACATATACACATACATACATACATAGATACATACAAACAAACAAGCACACTAATTTACATACATACATATATGTGAGCCGCAACCAAGAAACGTGGATTTTTGCAAAGCGTATAAAATAAATTTTTACAAATATATTTTAAAGCCCAGAACCTCACCCAATCTATTTGGACGAAAGATGTTAAGAACGCATCAGAAGAATTTGATAATTATTTTGATGCCAATTGGATGGTAAGGAAAATTCTTTCAAACAACAGTTTTCCCTCAATATACCAAAGGGATTCATCAAATTCTTTTGTAGGGCTTTAAAACTTCGCATTTTCCACTGAGGAGGTGTGGATTTTGCGAAAAATTTAAAGCAAGTCTAAAAGAGCTTTGAAAATTAATAGCACACAAACACTTCACCCACCATATCTTTGAAGCCCATTTCCGCCAAGAAGGAGTGGATTTCTCAACAATCCTCTACATTTTTTTAAAACAAAAATCTTTGAAAACGAGTTAGATTAGATGATACAAAAAAATTTCACACATACATTTTTTCAGTATTTTCACACTTATATATATACCAAAAAGTAAGCTGTGTAATGCATGACATTAATCAATAAATCTGTCTAAAGATTGACCCTATAGACACTCTTTTGATTGTTAACGCTGCCCATTTAATTGAAGAAATATTTGTATATTGACAATATTGATAAATTTGACTTTCTCTGCTTTTATTTGCACTCTACTCGTAACATGTTTTAAATTTGTTCAGTTTGCTTTAATGTAATAGTTATTAATATATATACATACATGTGTATATGTATATGTATATGTATATGTATATGAATATGTATAAGTATATGTATCGTATAATACATGCAATTTATCTATTCGAGAGGCGTTTCAAATACAATCCACATTCTTATATGACACACATGTCAATGCGTCCGCTCAGTTTGCGGCTCATCAAACCTGAAATCAGTCGAAAACAATCGGCGCACTTTAGCACATTCAGTTAATAATTCCTTTTTCGTTTTCATTTTTTATATGTATTATTATTATTTTTATTATATTTGTTCTACCAGCGACAAACAGAAGTCGAAAACTTACTGTAAAATGTTTAATTTCTGCATTTGTTGTTGCTTTTCGAAAAAGTAGAAAAATATTGCTCTAAAAAATACAGGGCAACTCTTTTCGTTCGTTAAATATATGCTATATATATGTATACATATATATTGCATACATATATGTATATATATATAAATATATTTTAGATACTTATAATTCTTAGGTGTTTGCGTGTTTCTTTACTTTTGTTTTTTGTTCTTGTTTTTCTTGTTGTTGTTGGTGTTGTTGTTTTGTTGTTGTTGTTTTGGTACAGGCTTAGACATAAAAACAGGCGCTAGTTGAAACCTTGGAGGGCAACAGATTTACAATTGTTATGACATACATACGTACATATGTGTGCATGTATGTAGGTGTATATAAATATATACTCGTGTATCAGTTTCATTGCATATATATTTGTGTGGATATTATATTATATTCCTCCGATCTACAAAGTCAATTGGGTCGGGACAGGGCGGGCTGGCGCGTTTACGCATAAATGTGTGTGTGTGTGCGTGTGTGTGTGTGTCTTAAGTGTTTCCCTGGTTCAGACTTCAGGCGTGTTAGACATGTTTGGATACCCTGTAACTGTGTGTACGTTTCTATGGACCGAATCGAATGATATCGGTTTGTTAGCCAGCACAAGTCGAGGCAAATAACAGCAACTAACGTGAGCTTTAAGCTAACAGTTTAACAAAATAGCGGCTCTTAAAGTACCGACTAAAGCTTCAGCAAACTATGACCTCGTGACATATCTCAAGCTAACATTTTACATTCAAAACAATATAGAAAAGACAGGGACACATTTGATTTTAGAGGCACTTCAAGTATTTCGCATACATTGCTCTTAACATAGAGGCTAACATTCTTGTTAAACTAATATGAAATCCGCACGCTAAACCGATTAATATTTATCTTCTGAATTCATTTCAAGTATACGTCTACAAAATTGGTAGTGTTTATCGATTTAAGATAGATGTATAAATTTATATCTGATTTAAATCCATGTAAACTTATATCATAAACCTAAATCCAGTATCTTCTTCAAATAACAAAACAAAAAATAACAATTCATTTGGCATTGTTAAACTTTAAGGTATTTCAACCAAGAACATTGTAAGGAGATCTCACGAATCGAATCGTATCAATATTTAAAAAAAAAAAACATTTGGTATTCTATCTAAATGTACATATAGCTCTAATATAACGGAAACAACATGCCCAGTTACCCAAATAAAATATATAGAAGAGAGATAAAAAAAACAGATACAAGTGAAATGAAATCACATTTTGTGTGTATTTGGTACGCAAAGAAATCATAATCATATATATATATATGATAATTGTAATAGTAATAAAAAAAAAAAAACATTAACAAACTGGTTGCTGATCATAGTAGGCGATGATATAATATATCATATCATATTAAATCGTACGTCATATGTTTTAGTATCTTAATGCGTAATATGTATGTAAGCAATAGAGGTATAAGGATGGTGAGAGAGTGGAGTGGGGCCTTTCACAATAAGACAGGCTGCGAAAGTCGCGCATTTTAGCTTTGCTCAGTTATATAACTTGATGTACATTGACTATAACAATATTAAAATTATATACATATCGTATATATTTGTGTATATATGATGTGTGTGTATGTGTGGTCGTATTGTTTATAGAAATATTTAGTTAATAGCTTTGCAGCGACAACTCGTGGCGGCGATTGTCAGCGTTAAAGAATGTCGTGCGTTCCTTTTTCAATATATATATATATATATATATATATGTGTGTGTGTATACTATATATTATAATATATTTTACACGTTTATAATATATATGCAACAATATTTCATGTACATATATATTTTTTACATATTTGTTGCTTAACCATATTTGTTTTTCTTTAAAAAAAAAAAGGCGTTCGTATTGTTAAGCTACCAAACTATTTCATACAACTCATATGCATACATATATATGTATGAATATGTATATATACGTACATACACATATATAGACATATATAGAATGCACATATACACAAACAAAAAGTAAACGTTCAACATTTGCATTTAAATTAAAGTTTAACAACTGGCAATAGGTTCTGCACATTTCTGCATATTTTTTTTCTATTATATATCTGTTGTTTTTTTTTGTTATTAAATTACTTTAATGTTTTTTGCTAAAAAGGTACTTGAAGTGTATACACTTAGGGAGGAGGGGAATCTTTAATGAATGCAACTATATAACTATGTGGGTGTGGGTGTGTGTTTGTGTGTGTAAATAAATTGCAGCTTAATTTGCACAGCGTTCTGTATGTACACAATTGAGTTTTAATTTAACTAAAGTTTTCTTCTTTTTACTCTTTTTTTTTTTAGGTTTTATTATTTTTACGTTTTGTTGCTTTTGCTGTCAACTGTCAGCAACTGTTAACAATTTTTCGAAATTTGTTATTTGTTTTGTAAGTTGACAAAAAAAAAATTGCATATAATATAAAATAAAATAAAAACAAATTGCGTTGTGCTTTCTGAAGCCAGGAAACAAAGAAACTGTTAACAAGTTTTGCATAAATTTGTAACTACAATAGTTTAATGCCTACAAACTAATTGTTGTTGTTGTTTGTTATAATTTTTTTTTTTTTTTTTTTTTGCTTATGTTACTAAAAGTATCTTTGATTTAACATTTACTTGAGTGTCGCATGTTGTGTTATTGTTGGTTGGTTTGTTTGTTTGTTTGTTTGTTGGTTTGTTTGTTTTAGTATAGGGTATGCGGATTGCTATGCTACGCTTTATTGGCCCGTGTTAGTTTTGTTGTTTGTTTTTTTCTTTTGGTTGATTTTGTTAGCACTTACGTTAATAATATATAACATATGATAATTATAATAGTAATAGTAATAATAGTTGTAATCATAATTGTAATAATAATATAGTAAATAGTATATAACATGTAGCGAATTAAACAATTCAAATTTTTAACAGCATCTGCTGCATCTGTTTGTTTTTCTTTTTTCTCTTTTTTGCTAAGGACTCAATAATAAGGCGCTAAATGTTGTTTTTTTTAGTACTTTACATACATATATGTATAGAGGTGTATATATTTATGTGTGTGTTACACATTTGACTTATATATGTTTTCAACTCACAGCAAACAAACATATAAAAGTGCTTTGATAACGCAATTGTTGCTTATTTTGTTTTAAACATTTTACTCTTTCACTTGTTTCTACATTTTTGCCATTTTTTTTTTGTTTTCTTTTGTTTTGTTTGTCAGCACAATTTGTTTTGATTTGTTTTTTGTTTTTTTTTTTTTTTTGTTGTTTTTAGTTTTTGCCTTCTCCTTCTTAAGTTTCTTGTACATTTTTCTTACTTCATAAATCGTATGTAAACAATTATATTTTTTTAAAAAATCGTGCCCAGCTAGCACCTTAGGACATTTTTGTGTTTATTAGTTTTTGGTTGATTTTTGTTGTTGTTGTTGTTTGTTTGTTTTTGTTTTTCTTTTGTTTTCTAAGTGAGATAAAAATGTTTTAAAATGTTTTGTAAATTATATATGCACAAATTGTAAATTAAAAGCTAACAAAGAAAATTGCAACTATTAAAAAAAAATTATATATATAATGGCCAACAATTAACAGGCACGTATGGTTGCCACTAAATCAAGTCCAATAAAAAGTTAACAGCTAAAATTAAACTATGAAAAATAGTTATAAAAAAAAATAATAATAATAATATTAAATAGTATATTATAATAAAGAAAATTGTCGCTCGATAACAAAAACACAGAGAATTAATAAAAATAAAATATATATATATATATATATATATAAAAGAAAAAGAAGGGAAACCAAAACATTTGACTAAATGCGCCGCATTGTACAGAGTTCGCTTTAGAAAGAGACAACAAGTGGTGCGAGCAGGATGGCGACTGAGGTTGTGGGTGCTAGTGTGTGTGTGTGTGTGTGTGTGCCAGTTCAACAAACAGTCCGACCTACAAGTGTCTACTGTCTGCCGCCAGCTTTGCGCCATATTCACCGCATCCAGGCGGCCTTCCTCTTGATCTTGGTGCGCAATCCCCGCAAGGGCTTCACTTTGCTCTTGGTCGCCACAGCGCTGAGCGACAGCATGGACTGCCCGTTGCCAGCCGTCGCAACGCCTCCAGCTGGTAGACAGCTAACGGCCGGCATATACAAATTGGACACCGAATTGCTTCCGGTGACATTTGCGCTGTAGAGCTCCTCGTAGAGCGGCCTTTGCTGCTGCTGTTGCTGCTGGACGAGCGCTCCAGCGGCAGCCACATTGGCAGCAGCGCTGCTAAGCAGCGCCATTTTGCTGCCGCTGCCATTGGTATAGACGCCGGTGTTCTGTTGCTGCTGCTGCTGCTGTTGCTGTTGTTGCTGCTGCTGATGATGATGGTGATGAGGATGTTGATGATGATGATGATGCGGCTGCTGATGCTGATACTGCAGCTCCATATGCTGCCATTTCTCCTCCTCAATGCTGCGACTGGAGGCACGCTTATGTGGTGAGCCGTGACTGCTGCCGCTGCTACCGTTGCTATGATAGTGCGTCGTGGTCGTCGACGAGCCGCACTCAACAATGGAGGAGCGCGATAGCGAGAGCAAGGCATCAACACCGTCACGATGTCGCTGCTGATCGGCCAGCTCCTCGGGCGTTATATTATGACTGTGCAGAAGAGTTCAACAACAGATTAGCTAACTGCCACAAATTGATATTGAGGGCGACTTACTTCTCCTCGCTGCTGTCGTAGGCCGCATCGGAACTGGCGCAATTGCTGTCGGCACCATTGCCAACACTGGCCTGCGTCTGCTGGACGGCCTGGCCGTTGCCATTGGTCAGCGGCGTTGAGGCGCCGCTATCCGCATTGCTATTGCCGCCCGCCGAGTAGGTGTGATCCTCGCTGGGCGAACTGGTTATCACCGGTGCGCTAAATAGAAGAGCCGAGGGTATCCAATTGATTAAAGTTAATCACAAAGCTCTCACTGCCTTAATCAATCTTGGGTTCAGGCAGCAATTCATATGACTCAGATCTCTGACTCATAGCTGATTAGATGGCGGTGCAATTCCATCTTTCCTTTGTGGGACTCCCTCCTTTCCATTTTCATTATACTATGTGGGATCCATACTATATATACTATACTATACTTAATGTAATCGACAAAAAAGCTATTTTCAGCACGCTGGGTAATATTTTTGTAGACATGTATGACAGATAAGATAATCGGGTAGTGATTCGATACATATATCGATGCAGGCAGACTAATTGATATACAAATCGGTTAGAGAACCGATATGCAAGTGTATGCAAGTAGATTTGCATAGTTTGCATCGTTTAGCGAATCGACATAAGTCGATCTGCACAAATCGTTGTAAATATTGGTTAGCGAATCGACGAAATATATGTAAAAAAATACATACGAATCGATACACAAATTGATTAGCGAATCGGCGTATAGATCAATTTTATAGAGCACACAAATCTGTGCACAGCTCTCTCTATACCGAGTCTTCTTACGTATCGATAAGAAAATCGATATTTAATTTATGTGCTTGGGCTTATCTATTTATCAAAGGCCATTTATCGCTTATCACTTACCCATTTTGAAAGGTTTCACTGAAGGCTTTTGATCCATGTTTAAGGAAAAGCATCGCTGCTGCTGCATGGACATCGTCGATGCTATCGGCGCCGCAGTCGCGTGCCAGCCGCTCGAAATTGTAGGCACAGACTGGAACACTTGATTGGGAGCCAGTACCGTTCGAAACGGCATAGTTGTACTTGTTGTTGTTATTATTATTATTATTATTATTGTTGTTGTTGTTGCTGTTGTTATTGGTCACATAATCGCCAGGCAGCTCCTCATCCAGAGCATCACCCAAGAATTGCGGCTGCAGCGAAGGCTCCTCAATATTGCGAAACGCCTTGGACAGATTGGGAAATAGCTTGGGATCGAAGCGGGCATGACTGCCAGCAGAAGCGGAAGCAGCAGCCCCAGTGCTGCCATTCGGCGTGGCCGGCTGACTGCCGCCATTGCCATTGGCCAGCACCCCGTTGGTTTTCGCGGGCGTTGTGGGCGCCGGCGGAACACTCGCGTTGCCATCCAAGCTATCGTAGCCAACGATGCCCACGCTGGCGGCGCTATTGCCACTGGGACTCTTAAGCATTGGGCTAATCTTGTCAACGGCCGAATTGGGGAAGTAGGGGGAACGGTTTAGGGCCTGCATGAGATTTTGACGCTGTTGCGGCTCGACGCGCCACAGCGAGCCCTTGCCCATATTCGGAGCCTTCTCCACTTTGACAAAACTCTTGTTCAGGGACAGATTGTGCCGCACGCTGTTCTTCCAGCCATTCGGTGCCGACTTAAAGTAGGGAAAGTGCTGCACGATCCAAGCATAAATCTCCTTAACGGGCAGCGCCTTCTCATTCGAGTCCTCAATGGCCATGAAGATCAAGGAACTGCAAAAAAAAAAAAAAATATACATAAACATTAGTCTCAATATTTAAAAATTATATTTTGTTTTTTTATTTTTTAGTTATCGTATCTGAAAGGAACAGCTGAGCCATTAAAACGAATTGGTTGAAACGCACACGAAATATCTCTTTTTATCTAATTGAGCTTTAAGTTTGTAGCGCGCGCTTTCAAGCTCTCGTGAAGCTTTAAGGCTTCTAAGCTGTGTTCTTAAGCTTTCAGATATTTTTTATTATTTATTTATTATTTTTAACAGCATTCTCATCATTCTTTTTGTTTCTATTAATTTATTATATTTCTTTCTTTTAATAGACTGGATAGTTCTGGATAATTTGATTATTCGCTCTTACCTAAAACTATATGGCGGCTTGTTGTTGGTATGCACAAATGGATCATATGGCACATTATTGGGATGCTTTTGCTTTTGGGGCGTGTTGTTGCTGTTGTTGTTGCTGTTGTTGTTGTTGTTGTTGTTGTTGTTGCTGTTGTTGCCAGCGCTGGAGCTGCCGTAAGTGGATGAATTGTTGTTGTTGTTGTTGCTATTATTATTATGGTTATTGTTGCTGTTTTTGGTTATAGATTGATACTGGGGCGTACTGGTGTGTATGCGCGCCATATCGAACTCCTTAAGCGAATCCTCGTTATCAAAACTGGCGTAGCTGTTGGGGCTGCGTAGATTGACAATGCCAGAGGCGGAACCGGAACCCGAACCCGAAACGGAACCGGAACCGGAGCCATTGTGCACTGTTGTTGGCGTCATGGGCGGTGGCGGCGGACTCACCGACAGCTGCAGCGCACCCGAACGCGACTGCACCGCACTGTAGTATGTGCCAGGCGGCAATAGCGCCGCACCTGGCGGCGTCTCCGGTGAGGATATATTGGCGGGCTGTTGTGAGCTGTTGTGGCAAGAAGAAAAACGATTATTTCAAATGACTTCCAATAGATCGACCAAAGCAAAAATGAGAAAGTCCACACGTTTTGCTCTATGAAAAGCATTCAAGCCAAAAACGAAAGAGATAGAAGGAAAAGGAAGAGAAAGAGAGAGAGAGAGAGCAGCAAAAATGATCTAGATCCGTATTTAATTTTTCGTACTGCACTCCAATTGTAGTCCACGTTTACGAATGCTCACAAAGCATAATTGCCAAAACACATTAATCTTCTGCGTATCTCTCGTTCTCTCTTTCTCTTTCATTCTAACATAAGAGTTGTCAACTGTTGGGAATGCTTTGTTGATTTTATTGCCATTAAAATGTTTACGAACATGACTAAAGCTAAAGAGGAGAAAATGCAAAAAATGCGCAAGGAGACAAAACGTTTACGAATGCAAACAAAACAAAATTGAACAATTTACAGCTGCTTCTCCGTCTCTCTTCCTCTCTGGCCTCAAGACAAATTGATTTTTTATCTATATCTCTTTCTTTCTTCTCTCTCTCTCTCTCTCTCTCTCTCTCGCTCACTCTTTCCTTTTCTTTCTGCTCTCTCTCTTTCTGTTTCTTGGTTTGGAGCGACGGCATTGGTAAATAAAGAACGCAACCGGCTTACTTACATGACATGCGGTGCGCTAACGAAACTGTAGCCCGGCGGCAACGTTGTGGTGCCAACCACAGTTGGTGACGTTGTGTGATGTTCGCTGGTGTTGACGGTGTTGACGGTGGTGGTGGTGGTGCTGCTGCTACTGCTGGGCGTTGAGTAGTTGACGGCATCGAAGACCGCATTAAAGCTGCTGGACTTTGGCACCGGACTGCTGCCACCATTGACGGCCGCCGTGGATGAGCCAGATGCGGAGCACGAGCTGACTGTTGAGTTGTTTGAGGAGGCGGGCGAACTGACCACAGTTACCGTCGAAGCCACCACATGACTGTTGCTGTTGTTGTTGGTGTTGTTATTGGTGGTGGTTGTGGTGTTGTTGTTGTGCTCCACATGCACATTCATCTTCTCGCGCAGATACTTTTTATGCGGATGATGCGTTGTAGTGTTCCCAGTTGATTTGTAGCTGGCGACAGCAGCCGTTGCACTCGTTCCATTGCTGTTCACAAATATCTGCTGCTGCTGTTGCTTGGCAGTTGCTGTTGTTGTGGGCATGAACGAGCTGCTTGCCACACGCGGCAAAAAGGCAACGCCGCCGGCAACAGCACCACCGACGGCATTCGGTTTGCTGGCTGCCTTGTACTCCACAACGGTGGTGGTGCCGCTGGGTCCCTTGTGCACCGTTGTGGTGCTGTATACGGCGGGTGACTGCTGCTGCTCGTGGGCATCGCCATGGGGCAGCTCTTCAATAATGTCGCTCACTAGGCAAATGTTGTTGGGCGCTGCTGCTGCTGCTGCTGCTGCTGCTGCTGCTGTTGTTGTTGATGCTGTTGTTGTTGTTGGTGATGTTTTTAGCGAAACTGCGGCGCCACCGCGTTTCGCGTGCGCTGCGGCAGCGGCAGCGACTGCTGCTGCTGCTGCTGTTGTTGTTGTTGTTGTGGTAACAATACCTTTGATCAGATTGGTATCATTGAGCCAGGACAAGGGACGCAGCTCCCCATCATCAGCGGCTGCAGCTGCCGTGGCCAAGGCATCCGCTGCGCTCAACTCCACCGGCTCTGTGGCAAGCAGCACAATGTTGCCACCTGCAGCAGGAGCAGCGCCGCCGCTGCCAGTGGCATTGCCAGCTTGTGCTGCCGCTGCGGCTGCGCTGCTCTCGTACGCCGTAAAGCTGCCGCCGTTATGCTGCAGGAATACGTACTTTGAGCCAGAATTCATGTGGCCGTTTCCGTGTCCGTGCGCGTGACCGTGTCCGTGTCCGTGTCCGTTCGCTGGCGATGCGGCGGCCGTTGTTCCAGCTACGCTGCGATAACCGTGAGCGGCAGCTGCCGCTGCTGCCACCACGGCGCTTGTTGTGGCCGCCGCCGTTTGCAGTTGTCCCCGCAATTGACTCAAATCGTGCGTTGTTAGCAGCTGTGTGGGATTATCTGTTGACATGCTGTGCGACAGAAAGAGACAAAGACACAGAATAAATATAATTGTAAGGCATTAATTTGCAGGGTTTGGCAATTAACTTCAAGTTAATCCATTTGGCAGATTGTCAACAATTGATTGTTATTATTTTCGTTTAACAAAAATAAGCATTCACTTTAAAGTTTTACCATAAGAAACAAAATCGTTATATTTTTAGAAATTATCCATCTATTTTTGTTGTTCCTGGCATATAAAAATGCCTTAATTTAAATCTTTTAAATTAATTTTGCTAAAAATGTTTACTTTATTGTTGCTGTAATACGTTATTTGCTCAGTATATCGATATATTTGATCGTTCTTCGATAACTCTCCCGATAAATATCGATTTGCAGCACTCGCTTTAAGAGCAATCCTTAAACTATATCCTAGTCGCGCTCTCTCTCTCCCTCTCCCTCTCTCTCTCTCGTTCGTCTATTTTTCTGTTTACACACAAAAACATATTTAATCAAAATTAGTTTTATTTTCTTCAAATTTTTTTTCTTCTATCAACAATTTCTAATCAAATCAATTAGCAAAAGCCAACACATACTTAAAAAGTTGTCGGCGTCCTTCAACATTTTTTTTTTATTGCATACCTCAATGCGCAATGCGCGCAACCCTCTGCGCCCCGTTTCAATTACCCCGCTGATGATAAGTAATATGTATTACCACAAATACACGCACACACACACACACACACACACGCACACACTCATCTTGAACAGTGGCCACATTTTTAAGTTAAATGCTAAACGCTTTACGCAATCATCGCCAGCCGCCCGCCCAGGCAGCCATTTTCGATGTGTGTTTGTTTTTGTTTTTGTTCTTGTGCTTGGTTTCTATTTTTTCGTTGTTTTTTTTTTTTTTTTTGCATTCTTTTTTTTATTGCTTCTAATTTACGCGTGTAGTTTTTGCTGTTTTTATGGCTTGATGAGTGGCAGCGACGCCGGCAGCGACGCCGGCAGCGGTAGCGCAGCTTGCGTTCACCTGCGGCTGCTTGATTTTTTTTTTTTTTTTTTTGGCTATTTAGTTGCGCGCGTCGCTTTGTGTGCGTGTGTGTGTGTGTGTGCGTGTTTTTTCCGCTCCTCTCGTCTCTCTTTCTTGGTGCCTGTGTGTGTTTACTGTTGTATTATCTTATCAGCATTTTGCATTCATGTTGCTGGCGGCTGTCGCCTTAACCGTAATGTCTGTTGTTCAAAGTGCGAAAGAGAGATCAAGTAGAGCTGCATTAAAGGATATTGAATTAATTATCGATATTTGCAATTATATTAAACGAGTTTATGCACTTAAAACATTTACAGTTAATTCAATGGAGCATATATTTAGTTATGCACGTGTGAGCGGCTCATTCCACTGTAAATGTATTATTTATTGATTTTTATTGGCCACTGACAAAATAACTGTGACAACAACAGCAACAACAACAACAACAACAACAACAACAGCAGCAGAAGAAGAACAGTAACGCGGCTAGTGTAAAACGAGCGCGCCACAACAAAGACGGAAAAAAACTTGAGCGAGTGACAACAAACGATACGAAACGAAAAGCAAGGCAAAAGCAAAAGCTCAACAACAACAATTTTGAGCGCCACACAAAAGTCGGTCTACAGTCGCAGGCCAAAATAATGGGCACACAAACAAAGCAGAGCAGCCCTTCACAGCTGTTGTTGTTTTTGTTGTTGCTGCTTTAAGGCGGCAGGCCAAACACACAAACAAATGAAAAAAAAAATAAATAAATAAATAAAAAAAAATAAAGCTTACGACGCAATTTTGAAAGTTTGCGTCGTTGCTTGGCAACTTTTTATAAACAAAATACAACAACGATAATTTGCACAGTAGCGTCGCGCGAGAGGTTCCACGACGCCATCGCCGACGCCGACGCCAGCGCCGACGCCAGCGTTCGGGCAAACGACAACGTGGTTTTGGTTACGCTTGCTTCCCCTAAGCAATGTGCATGAGTATGTGTTTATATTTACCTTTGTATTTACCTAATTAGCTAAAAAGATACAATCAAACATGTCTCTGTGTGTGTGTATGTCTAGCTGTTGCTAAAATATTGCAAATTGTACACACAAACACACACAATGCAAGCCATTTGAGCCGCTGTTGTGACGTGTGCCAAAAACAAAAAAGAAATGCCTCTCCCATGCCTCTCTCTTTTCTTTATTGCTCACTGGCTTTGTTAGCCGCGCTCTCTCCCTCTCTCTCACTCGCTCTCTCTGTTTCTTTTCTGTTGTTAATCTGCTTTTACGTTGCGTTTTGTTTGTTTTTCAAGCGTAAACCAAACGGCGCAGTTTCAGGCTGAGCTCAGTGAAATTCAAGAGAGTCCGGACAATGCAAGAGTGCTCGCATGCAGAGAGCGAAGCTTACTGCTTTAAGCCGTTGTTCTTGTAGTTCATTAAGCTTTTACGCCTCGCTGTCTGCACACCTCTCGCAGCATACGAGACAACCAGCAGCCGTGCTGTCCATGTCGCGTCAGTTGTCAGTTTTTCGTTCTAGAAACGTCAACTGCTGCAGCGCAGCCCGCTGTCCGCTGTCCGCCGTCCGCCGTCCGCCGTCCGCTGCCCGATTTCTGTGTGACCTATGGACCTTTTGAATGGCGCTTTCTATGCTGCCTTTTATGCAGCTGCTGTTGTTGTGGTTGTTGTTGTTATTGCTAATGTGGGCGTTAAAAGTCTGACCCCTTCAGTAAAAGACGATTGGCTGGCTAAACTGTACCTGCTGTCGCTTATAAAACGCGCTTTGTAGTTGTGTAGATGATTCATATGAAAACACACAAGCACACACACACACACACTCACACACACGTAATATGCAGTGGCAGCAGCAACTTTAACCGCGTGCTAATCACGTAAAGACCACAAAAACAACAAGAACACTTGTTTTTGTTTGCTCTGTTGAAAAAAAAAAAAAAAAATTTATATATTGAGGAATATGCGTTAAATGGGCTGCTTCCTATTTAAATATGAAATAATAATTATAGTAAAATGAGAGTGAGAGCAAAGGGGGTTATGGGGGCCAACGGGTGCGGGTGCGGGTTTGTCACAATGACAGCACATTTTTACATCAAACATATTAATAATAATAAGAAGCGAGTGCCAGAAAGAGAGAGAGAGCGTGAGAGAGAGAGAGAGAGAGAGAGAGAGATCTCAACACTTTGTTGCTGTTCCTCCTTGTTTATCTATTGTCATTTCGATCGCTCTCTTTATAAATAATAACAAATAGCAAAACAATTCACGTAACAACGACGGCACACACACCGTATGAGAGAGAACGTAAGAGAGAGAGCGCGTAAGGCAGAGAGCGAGAGCGAGCTTTGCATATTTCCGGCAGAGCCGCAACAACACAACAACAACAGCTGGCCAAGCATTTTTTGAGAGCTTTTTAATGGCGACGGCGACGGCGTCCAATGACATGCGCTCCCGCTCTCCCATACCCAATCACCCAATCTTTATGGGGCCTGTACTTGCGCGTGTATGTGTGTGTGTGTGCGTGTGCTTGCTCGTGAAATATAAACAAAAATGTTTTAAATTATTAATAAAAAAAAAGAAAAATGTTGCTTGCGAATGAATCAATAATACAAAATAATAATATGCAATAGTTTTGTTTGATTGGAAGTTTTCATAAAAATTTGCATTGAATAAAATTTACATATATAATAAATATATATATATATTTTAAATTGTTTAGTTTGTAAATAAACGTGTTTACGTTTTGCTCACACACACACACACACACACACACACACATGTATTTCAGAATTTTCTCGAGCTTCTACAATAAGCAGCGAAAAGCTGACGGCGTCAACCCGGCGTATACGTAACCCCCCCATGCATACAGCACGCTTGTGTGAGTGTGTGTGGCTGTATATGCATGTGCGTACACACACATACAAATACGTATGTATATGAGCCAGGCATGTCTTGCTGTCTGTGTCTGTGTGTGTGTGTGTTGGGATGCTTTCAAGTCGGGTCATACATTTGTGCATTACGTATACGCCTCGCATGAAGGCAAGCAAAGGAAATGGGGGAAAAATACACACACTCACACTCTCTCGCACACACACACACACGCAACTGATAAGCAACTGGCAGGCAGAAAAGTAAAGAAAATGTGCAAAAATATCAAGAAAAATATTAACAAATAATTAATAGAAAAAAAAATACATTTAAGTAAATAAAATAAAGAGCCAAAGAGAGAAAACGAAAGAGAGAGAGAGAGAGCGCGAAATTGAGCGTCAGATAAACGCGACAAGGCCGCTTTAAATGTTTTTGTTCTTCTCACGTTTTTGTTTGCCTGTGTGTGTGCGTGTGTGTGTGTGTCAGTATGCGTGTCATCATGTTATTGTTTTCATTGTTGTTGCTAAACATACATTTTAGATTTTTGGTAAATAATTTAATAACATGTTCTTCTGGAAAAATGAATATGTATTGAATATATATATATATATAGAAATTATTTTACATACATATATATACATTTTTTTTTTTTTGTTTAACCAAATTCAAAATTTAAAAATAAAAATTCAAAATTCACTTCATTCAATTTTCATGTAAGACCTCTTAAAACAAACCCAATCTGCTGTTCGCTCTCTTTCAGCGGAGCTTTCACTCTTTCACACACACGCACACAGCGACAGTGACAGCTCTGTTCGCTCTCTCTCTCACTCCATCCATTGCTCACACACACACACACTACTCTGCTGACTTTTCAACGTGGTTTTTGCTTATTTTACTATGTATTTTTATACATTACGGCGCTTTTCGAAATTCGTCTCTTTTTAGCATGAGATTATGAAATCGAGGCACAGATTAGGACGCTTCGATAGTGAGAAGAAAAGAAAATTGCTAAGAAAATGCAAAACCGATTACAGCAGCAACAATTGCATATTTTGTTATTGTTTTTCGTATCCATGACTCTCACTTTGAGAGCGCGCTCGCGGTCTGCCTCTGTCTCTTTGTAAGCTCACCTTCCTTTGACTACTCA